TTTTTGTTGTTGTTGCTGAATCACGTATTAAAACTTTGTTTGAAATTACCAGTAAAGGAGGCATGCGAGACCCATCTCAGTTTCAGATGATTTGTTTACAAAACCTTTCTTGCGGAGGTCGACAGTCACAGCTAGAAAGTATTTTTATACTTTATCTCATTTCCAATTAGCTATATTAATACCTACCATTCCCTTTACTATTTGCCAAGCAAAAGAAAGCAGCTTTTGAGTAGTAAAGCTGTCTGCGCCTTCGTCGTTATCATCATCAATATTTTCATTTGATATCAATATGGCCGCATCGTTGCTCTTGCCCTGTGATGTCGATGACATCGACATCTGTTCCATGCTTTTCTGCTCCATAAAATCGTTACAGTTGCCTTCGTCAGGGTCGGCTTCATCATCATCAATATTTTCAGATGGCATTAGTATAGTGGAAACGTTGTCTTTTCCCTGTAATGTCGTTGGCATTGATAGTACCTCTATTTTTTCCTGGTTCAGAAAAGAATTATTGTCTCCTTCCTCTTTCTCCCAGTCATCATCATCAATATTTTCAGTCGATATGAATATGGAGGCAGCGTTGCTGTTTTCCTGTAATGGCGATGATATCGGCATCAGTTCGATAATTTCCTGATCCAGTGAATCATTGCTCTTTTCCTGAATGAAGAAGGCGAAAAAAAAAAAAAAAAAAAAAAAGAACGTAACGTAGCAAGTAATGGTAGTAAACTAAGCGTTTGTAAATTATTCCGTTATTCATATTTTGGGTAGGGAGGGAAGGATAGAAAATGTGGCGCTTATTTCAAACCTAATGTAGCGTGAGCTTTTGGTGAGTTTTTCTTATATTGATTGGAAAACACTTGTAGTATTGTGTTGAAGTTGCGCTTGCTATACAATTGTTTTTTTCTCAGTTGTGATTTTGGTTTTACTGTTTGTTTTTTTACATTTTTTCCACTTCTGCTTTAGCTTTAGCATTTTTAATACTTCATCATACTCGTAATACTTTTTAGAATATATCTAATACTTTTGATTTTTACTGCCAGTTTGGCTATGTTGACCTAACTGATCTCATCATATTTGGCACGTGACCACCAATGAAATAAACATTCGTGGATACCTTACACATCATTTAACTTTCATTACCATACATAAGTACATGTACGTTTGTAGACACCAATGCAAATAATGATTTGCGTATTGACCAATGAATTTGTTGTGTAATTCTTTGTTATAATCTTCGCAAATGTAGTTTTAAGAGCTAAAGCTGCCATGGAAATAAACAATTACTTACTTTAGCAAGATTCTCAGCGAAAAGGGTTATATCAAGGGTGATATCTCTGTTATCTCGTGACGGAGTCGATTCCATCATCAGCAAAGTTTGCTCTAGCCGTGGTTGATCTTGATCGATCCCATCCTGAGTATCATCTTCTTTTTCCCGAATGACAAAAGTATTGACCTACCGTGAAATACGGGTATTTTAATACCCTTATTTCACGGTGGGTAAATATTTTACAAATCTCTCTCTTCTTAAAAAAAACAAACAAACAAAATTAGGAGGAGTGATAACCGAAAGGTGGGAGACATTTTAAAACCTTACCATCCGTCGAAAGGTCAGAGGTGAAAAGTTATATCGGACAAGATTGGCGGGGGGAGGGGAGGGTGAGGTAATGGGGGAGTTCAAAGGCTGGGTAAATTTTTGTGAGGGTAGAAGAGGATAGCTCCTTTATCTCCGGGATTTTAAAGTAGCATCAAAACGCTCTACTACCTCCCTTTATGGGATATCCTGGGCTATTTATCCATACTTCCATCCTGCTATTTAAATGCAGTTAAACTGATCACGTTTTGATATTTTTCTTACACCTGTCAACTTTTCTTTTCTCTTGGAATAAAATACCCTTTCAAACTTTCCTGTTGAAATTTTGACGTCAGGGCTAAACTATTTTTCCAAAACAAATTTGAAGAGAATATTTGCCTGATAACATTATAGCGAAAAATTGGAGATTTATTTATAAAGTAGTATTCTAGCTGTTTCTTACCTGAGAAAGCTGTCCAGAGGACATGGCGATTTCTTTGTTAACTTGGAAACCGCCAGGAATAGGCAAGGCTCGATTTTCATCCTGAAGGTTCTCGTTATGCATCAAAAGTTAAATATTTTAATCCTTATTGCTATTTTTATTCACTCACTCGCCCACTCGTTTTTTTCGTTCATTCAATCCATTCAATCATTTGTCCGTCCGTCTGTTCTCCCCCTATTCCTTCCTCCCTTCTTTTATCAAACCCACCATCAATTCTTCTACTAACTGAAAGGTTGAAATTAAAAGGTTGTTTTCTTTTAAGCCTTAGATATTTGATTGCATATACACTAGATACATTATACAACATTCCCCATCCCTCAAGTTACATACTGGTGGAGTCAAAGGCCTCAGACCTTTTAGTCGCCACTCCATCACCCCGCTCATGTTCTTGAAGCCCTGAACATCTCTGATCAGAATGGGGTTAATGTAAGGTACCTACTTGGTCACATTCGCTCATTTCTTTTTGAGCATTAAATATTTTCTTGTCTTCATAGCATTTCTTCTCCTCGTTACCTCCAGTGCCTTGGTTTCGATTGATCTAGAGTACAATGAACACATAAATAACTAGCACGATTGGTATAAGCGTGGAAGTTATTAAGTTTCAAGGTGAGGGCTGAACATTATCGACTGGAAATC